TATTCTCTGAATTGCATCATAAACATGGTGATGTTAAATCACAGGTTACCAATGAAGTCTTGGTGCAATGTTTTGTTGGTCTTGATGGTTTGTATTTCTTGCCAAATATTCATCTACAACACTCTTCTGCTGGACCTACATCTTGTTTCATTACTAATTTAAATAATTATACAAGTGTGAATTCTTGTTGTACATCTAGTTCTCAAACTCTGCCATGCTAGACTTGGCCATCATAATCCTCATGTTTTAAAAATGGTTATGCAACACTGTAATATACCCATTTCTAATAAAAAAGCAAGAGTTTTCTTTTGCTTGTTGTGTTCGGAAGTCTAATAGACTTCCTTCTTTTCTGTCTAACACTGTTTATACTGATCCTTTGGAATTGGTGTCTCGTGACTTTTCAGGACCCTCAAATATATGTACACCTTCTACAAATGGTTATCTTTATCACATAACATTTGTAGATGCTTACTAAAACTTTAGTTGGATATATCTTCGTAAACATAAGCCATTCATAAATTCACGGCTATGGCTAACCTTCAGATTGGGGAGACAAGTTTAGACCTTCAAACTCGTAGCTTACCAGTCATGGCTTTTATTACATAATTATTTGTCCCCATACTTATCACCAAAAATGTAGTGGAAAGAAAACATAGACATGTAGTTGAACTTGGTCTAACTCTTCTTAATCACGCCTCTGCCTAGACAGTTTTGGGACTTTGCCTTTGCCACAACATTATATCTCCTTAATAGACTTCTACAACCTCTCTTAACTTTGATGTCCCTTATTTTGTTCTATTTAAACAGTCACCAGATTATAATTTTCACAAGACCTTTGGCTGTTCTTGTTTTCCCTTTCTTAGAGCATACAATAAACATGAACTTGAAAATAAGTCTTATGAGTGCACTTTTCTAGGATACTCAACCTATCACAAAAGGATACAAATGTCTTTCTGGGATTCTCTCTAGGGGTCTGATATATAAAATGAGAAAAAAGGTGCAAAAAGGCTTAATTTTTTTTCAAGTTGGTTAAATATTCAAACAAGGGATATATGCTTTGTTATGAAATAATTAAAGATCTGAAACAAAAAGTTTTTCAATCAAATGTGAACGTCTAGGTTCCAACACTTTGTCTTGGTATTGAATAATGGATACTAAGAAAGAGCTTCTGTACCGAATGTTCTTATACCAGTCCTCCAAAGTGTAATAAATCGGGGACACATCAGTGTAGGCTCTCATTTGCAACAATTTAAACCACTTAGTACGGAATAATAATTTAATTAGCTACATAAAATAACTGTATCATTCAAAAACCTTTAATCAACATCTATGAGCAATCAAACTACATGGATTGGATATATCAATATGAAGTAATTAAACCAAAGGTTCAAATTCAAATACACAAACTGTTAGGGTTGGAAGGTGTATGAGAGAAAAAGGTTTAGGAGAGAAGGAGAAGACCGAACGGTGGAGGAAGGAAGACCAAACCAAACGGTGGAAGGCGGGGAAAGTTCAGGCCAAACGATGGAAGACAGGGAGGAGTCGAGCCGAACGGCCGAAGGAGGTAGCGGAGCAATGGGGAGCAGCCTACCGATTGAAGAGTGACTATCCTAACAAGGACAACAGTTAGGATAGACAGAAAGTAATTATAGTAAATAAAGTTATATCCTAGGAAAATATTGTTAATTACGGTAATTAGAACAATATCCTAGGGAAATATTGTTAATTACGATAATTAGAGCAGTATTCCAGGGAAATATTGTTAATTACCGTAACTAGAACAGTATCCTAGGGAAATATTTAGTATAAGTTCATTACGGTAATTAGAAGTATATCCTAGGAAAATGGTAATTATAAATAAAGCCCTGACGCTATGGTTTAGGGCATGCTTTTGATTATTGAGTTTTGTAAAGGAGGTTATGTTCCCTAGTGACTGAAGGAGCTTATGCTCCGAGTTTGCTTTCTTTGATTCAGATATTTCTATAAATAAAAGAGGTTTATTCAGTTACTGTTCTTTCGATTTACTGATAGAGTTGAGGGTTATCTTTCTACCTACGATCGTGGTTAGTTACGTCTCCGACTCGGATACGTAACACAAACAATGGCGCTTTCATGATCCAAAGAAAAGAAAAGTAAGGAAAAAAGAAAAGAAAATATACTTACATTTCTGAAAAGAGGATCCAACAAGCCTTTGGCATTAGGGGTTGCTATAACTCTAATATTTGGGAATTTCTGAGAGAAGGGCTTTAAGGTCTTCAAGTGGCAGTGATCATCAAGGCTTTGAGTAATGAGTAAGCAACTGATTTCCGGAAGATCACTGAGCTGTACTACAAAAGCATACAGTTATAGCCAGATCACTAGTTTCCACAAGCTGAAGTTAAATTACATGACAAAACAACACACAGGCATAACATAGAGGTAACACAATCAACTAGTAACTAGTTAGCATCCATCAAAAGATACCTGGAATTGCTTTAACACTTTCTTAGCAGCATCATATAGCCAAGGAATTCCAAAATCCAAGTTACCAACCAAAATTGGATCAACCAATATGTTTGTCCCACCCACATTCCAGAGCCAACTGTTTCCCTAAATCCAGCACTTAACCCATGTGAAAGGAAAGAGTAAAACAAGCCAAAATTTTGTTTAAATTTGAAAAGGCAAAGCAGTATCATAATAACTACAAAATACTACATTATTTTCAATTTATTTCTTCTATTGAAAATTTAAACAGGAAATTCTAGAAACAATAATGTAGAGCATGTTCGATTCTCTTACAACTTTTTGGTTTTAAAACAATTCTACATTACTTATCAATCAACTTCTCATCCAAGATCTTTTAAAGATGTGGAAAAATTATTCCAAACAAGTATTAAAAAAAAACAAAGACAAATGGGATTAGGCTAGATTGTTCCCATTTTTCCATGTTTCCTCTGTAAAATTCTCTCTTCAATTCCACACTTACTGTGATGCCCCGCACATCCTCACAAACCGCCTTAGCAAACTTCACTTGGGCAGCATTTTGAAAACTTTAAAAACAGTCTTAAAACAGAACCAAAAACAAACCCTTTTGGGATTATTGGAGGAAGAAAATAGTGCTAAGTGCTACAATGCAATGCTGAAGGGATGCCTCACATGGAAGGTCTAGTGCATAATGAGATAAATCAAAAGTAGTTACCTGGCGGGCACAGGTGCAATAGATCCCTGGAATATGGAGCCGAGGAATGAGCAGCAGGAAGAGAGAGTCTCAAATACTCGAGCTACCCATGACTTGTTTCTGAATAGGAAAGTTGTTCATTTTCCTCTCTCATAGTATCTCTCTTCCCGCTCTGAAAACCTTTCTAATCTTCATACTTGTTTTCCTCCTATATGTCAAGCAAGATGAGTGAGCAGTGGCTGCAAGCTCTCAGGTCACAGCTAATTCTTCTTTTAAAAAAGTTGTAATTGTTTGGTGAAGTCATTTACGTTATGCTACTTTTACCGGTTTAGTGTTACTATTGTACTTGAACTTTATTCACTATCAATACGACCAACGGCTGCAGACCGTTCTCCAATATTAGGAATTAACTCCTAACAGATTACTTTCAAACTCTTCCGATTACTTTTCTTTTCAGCTGAGCTAACACAAGTAAAGAATGTCACCTCTAAATATGTGAGTTTGAAGACATCAGCTGGAGAGAAAGTAGAGCCAACAGCGTTCTCTTCTGAGACAACAGCAGAAACAACACTACCCCACCTGCAAATTAACCGCATCATTAATTGGATATTCCTCCAATCAAAAACTACAAAGACGGAGTGAAAACTTATCAGGGAGAAAAACCTTACCTTGAAGTTGAGGCCTTGTAACTAGTGCAGATTGAAGTTCTTGAAACCAAGGGGTTAGATGAAGAAAAGGGTTGTAATAAGAGTCTTCTTCGTGTGGGGTAGCAGGGTTTGTTGAGAGCAAGAGAATTGCAGTTGCACTGTAACGTTGCCATTGTTGAACCGTTGTTGCTTCTCGCTCATCCACCAGCAACGACGGTTGTCCGTTATTAATAATATTTAATTACTATTTTTTTGGTTCCATAGTTTTTTCTTTCTTATTATTGTCATCATAGTTATTTTCAATTTTTTCAAACTTTCAACGATTTTGAATTAATATATTTTTTATGTTAAAAATTTCTTTTTAATAATAAAAATTATAATTATAAAAATAAATAATAAATAATTTACAATTTATTATAAATAATTTTTATTTATTTTATAGATAATTTATTTATTTAATTTTAAAAGAATAATTAAATTTTAAAAATAGTTAAATAAAAAATTATTAAATTTAAGAAAAAACGATTACCTGAAAAGTAAAATTAGAAAAAACAAAAGGTAAAAACTAAAAAGGAAATTAAAAAAAGTTATATTAATACCATTTTTTATAATAATATAGATTAATGATAGCAGTTAAATTTTGAGTTAATTTTGTTCGTAATTGTAACTGAACTCCACGAGTTTTTATATATAAAATTATTGTAAATAATAAAACTCTCCATTCAACTCAACTATATAAAATAAAGTAGGATAATTTTATTAAACATTACAAGTATAAAAAATCAAAGTGAAGGATAATATTATATATAAATAGTTAAATATGTAGTTATTTTTATACAGCACGACAAGTAAATGTGAAATAATTATTTTAGAACAGTTAAATAAACAAACGTGTAATATATGATCCTAAGTTTCCCACGTATCACATGTTAGACCGTACTCTAGCTTCTTCTTTCTAGTTTGAACTTGATCACTACTTCATTTTGGGTACATATACGGCGCATGAAAGTGAAAAAAAAAAGGAAATATAACTAAATATTAAAACACATATTTTTTAATACGTGGATATTAAAATATTTGTTATCCAAATAGAATTAATTTCGATAGTAGATTATTATATGGAATATGATATTTTTGTATCTCAATCGTATCATAAGTTCAGTTTAATAATTAAAAATATACAAAATAATATTAAAAATACTTTGGAATCAAATCTTTCATTGTGCAGAAAATGAAGTATTTTAAGTCAGTAAAAGAGCTTTAAGAGTTTTACGAGTGTATGATGAAGTAAGAGATAATTGTATTTATTTCCTATTATAATACCTTGTACATTAATAAGGTTTCGGACTTCTGACGTTATAAAAATTGATAGTATTATCAACAAATATAACAATTTATCAATGATAATTAATGAAAAAATAATAATAATAATAATAATGTAATACCTATTGATATACCAAAGATTATGTAAATATATGATATTAAAAAATATCACTAATGAAACTAACAAGATTTGATCAGCATATTGTTAATATATGGATATTTACATCAAACAAATATATCTCATAATACTTTCAATCACTTTAGTACACTAAAGTTAATGTGGTTAGTTGGACCACATAACTATTTGTTGGGTTAGACATTTTGTTTTTTAACAAAAATAAAACATAAAACATAAATTTATATATTTTTTATAACTAAGTCAACTTTATTTTTTCTTTATTCTTCGGCTTAATGCCAATTTTGGTCCCTAATTTTTTTAGGTGTGTTCAAAGTGGTTCTATTTTTTAGATGTTCAAAATTTTTTCAATCTTTTGTAAAAACCGTTCAAGTTGGTCTTTTTTGAAAATTTAATAAACGTTTTGGTCTCATGAAAATTGATTTAGTAATATAATTTAAAATGTATACAATTATATTTTTTTTAAAAATATTTTGACGTTGAAGAAAGATAATACATCCCTTTGATATTGAATATTGATTAATATATGTTTCTTTACAAAAATTTTTGTTATAAACATTAATTAATTGATATTGGAATAGTAAGAAAATAGTTACATGTGTGATTATATACTCCTTATTTGGTGGGGACGAGGATGAAACAAAAACAAAAAATTAGGTTTGAAAATGTGAATATGGATGGAGTTTTTTCTTTAGGGATGAGTATAAGATAACAAAACTCATCCTCATCCCACCTCATTTGAAGTACTTGAATAACACTAGAAGAGAGGTTGAATAATGTTAATGAAAAAACTTTTTCGCAACCCTCCTTATATAACACTTTTCTCGAGTATAAGATTTTTCAAGTAGTTGTTAAATGCTCGACTTTGTAAGTAATATTAATCAATGAATTCTTTTCTTCGTGCTATATAGGATATTCACTGTAGTGTATATAAGAACTTTCTTTTTAATGAATAATCGTTCAGTATGAAAAACTCTAGTATTTAAAACTAAAATGCAACTGCAGGTTTAATAAGAGAAGTGTTTATACATGATTAAATAATAAATGCACATGTATTTTTATACTGATTCACTATAACTAAGCTACGTCCAGTCTCCTCTATCCATAGAGAGTTTCACTATAGTTTTCAACAAGATTACAACTAAGTATTCTTACAACTCCTAGTATTCCTAGGCACTCCTGGTATCCACTGATACACTGCCTAGTTGAGTTTTACAAAGTCCTGGTTGTGTAGTATACTTCACCACTTGTATCCATAGTCAGCAAATAACTTCCTGTTACCTTAGACTAGTTGAGTATTCGCACCACTCGTTTGTCTCTAACGTCCACTTCTGCTATTTGAATAAAGCATGTGATTGTGTATAGAGTAGGTTATCTGCAAAGAATATAGTAGATTGTGAGTGCAACACATATGTCTTATCTCTTATCACTTTTGTTGTTTTTGAACGTTAAGCATTTAATGTCATTTAATGCTTACTTAGAACAACAAAAAGTGTTTTCCATTTTCTACCTTCTAAAGATATCAATCATTGAGAACAAACTTCATCGTTAGACGAAGTAATAATTTTAGCTCATGGTATCATTTAGACCGATGTAAACGCTTTTTGTATTTGTCTTTTTAGAGCAAGAGCGTTTGGTTGTATGTGTTTTCTTTTACATTTTATGTTTAAGCTTCTTGTAATGTTTTTTGTCAAATACATAGTCTTGACACTTTTTCTGTTTTCCCGAAAATTCATCTAAATACCTTTGGATACACTATAGCTTATGAGTTTAGCATAACTCTCTTATACATTTTGACTTATTAGTCGTTTAGCATTACATATGAGTATTTAACTTAGGTAATTCTGTGTTTTCTAATCACATTTCAGTAGTAGTAGTGTTAAGGCATAAATGATTAGGCACAAGTTTAAACATTTGCCAACAAGAAGGAGGATTCAATCTTTTTCTAGTGAAAAACACAGTCCATTATTCATTGGACATGAAGAATCAATAACCTACCAAAGACTAGAGATAAGTTTATAGAGCCACACGAAGTCTCATGCATTACCGTTACAGGATCCAAGTTGAAATATAATGTAAAGAAACACTCGACGACTAATCATGATGCATCAAAAGATTGAAACATTAGACAATAAAGATATTAGAAGACAACTAGTTTGGATATTCAAGAAGATGATCTATGTGTTTTAAGGTAACAAATTCACAAATTTCAAAAAAAGATTTTTACACATGAATAAGCTATCCCTTGAATGATGGATACCCATTGACTATTTTTTTTTTTAATTATACTAGAACAACCTTCCTCACCTAATTTTTATGGATAAAACTAGATGAGAAAAAAAAGAACTAATATGCTCATTTTGCTATCTTTAATAATTCTTTATAATTAAATTTACTATTTAGTAATAACTTTTTACCATCATAAAATTAATAAAAAAACTAAATACACAAGTGTTAGAATTTGAGGATTATTTAACCAATTTTAAAATATAAGAATCAAAATTAAGTTTGAAGAAACTACAAAGAAAAAAGAAACATATTAATCCATTCTTACTAGTTAAAAATATCATTTATTTAATGGTGTTAAAGTGTCTTTCATGATACATAGATGACACGATCTTCCACTCTAACATACATACGCACATTCTTTTTTTTCTATCTCTTTCATATCTCAATTTTAATTTAGATTATGTTTGCTCCTTGAGCACTTAGAGGAGCTCCTATTTATTTTTGTATGCTCCACTCGAAACACTATGTTCCTTTAACAAATTTCTACGGCATTGGTTAAAAATGTTTAAATAAAGTTACCAA